CATTTTTGCAAAAAAAAAAAAATAGGGGGGGGAGGATTATGGAGGGAGGAGGGTTGCAAAGGTCTACACCATATTGTGGTGATTGTTCCGTTCAATGATGTCCACAGGTGAAAGGATATCTTTCCGGATTGGAGGAGGAGGCAGGGAGGTCCTCATCTTGGGTTTGAAGAGGTCTGACACATAAAACACCTGTAAATAGAATTTAAAAATCAATGGAGTGATATTTGAAGAAGTTTTCCTCAAACACTATTTGATAGATTATCAATGAGAGAGTTTTCATGTTCTATTTTACTGTAACCGAATTCTTTGTTTGTTTGTCTGACTGACTACAGGACTGGGACCTAGGAATTCCTGAGCCCAAATCCCAGCTTTGAAACCACCTCACCGTGTGTCTTTAGACTCAGGGTCTGGTCTCAGAAGCTGCTGAGCATCTTCCACTCCCACTGGGGCAATGGGAGTACTTAGCATTTTGTAAGATTGGGCCCTTAGCCTATGTATGGCTGTTTTCCTAGCTGTGGCATAGGCATGTACAATACTTGACTAGAAGCCACATAGGGTTTTGGGAGGTTACATGATAATGGCTCAGTATGAACTGTGGTGGGCATTAATAAATGATCGCATTTATTTGCTATAAATAGATTGATAACACACAACTCCACAGCATAGGCTTGAAAGCCCAGAAATAAAGAGAGTTCCTTGGGGCACGGACTATCTTTTTGTTCTGTTTGTACAGCACCTAGGACAATAGGGTCCTGGTTCAGGTATACGCCTCCTAGGCACTACAGTAATACAAATAAATAATAATAATAATAATGACGATCAATATACTAGGCTCAAAGACACCCCCCACAAAAAAAGTTTTAATCCTGCTTGCCTGACTCACACAAATAGCCCTACTGATTAAAATGATCTGAGGGGCAGTTAAAAGCCCTAAAGTTAAAACTACTCTACAAACAACACCATTTGTAACAGGGGGAGGGATAGCTCAGTGGTTTGAGCATTGGCCTGCTAAACCCAGAGTTGTAAATTCAATCCTTGAGGGGGCCATTTGGGGATTGGTCCTGCTTTGAGCAGCAGGCTGGACTAGATGACCTTCTGAGGTCCCTTTCAACCCTAATTATCTATGAATCAGGGCCACTTGATATACTCTACTTTCCCCCTTTCTCATGACACATGAACTACAAAATTGAAGTTTAGTCAGGATGACTGTCTAGCAGTCAGAGTCCAACGGAAGGAGGAGATATTCCTGCATACCCAATGACGTAACCACGCTGCCGGATGTGAAAAGGCCAGCATTTGACAATTTAGGGAGGCAGAAACAGAGTGCTGGGAGGAAACCTTCATTTCCTCCTTGGCAGCCTTGGCCTAACCCTTATCAGTCCAGCATGACTGCTGCACTTTCTCCCTTACTAAACTTAAATCTGAAGCCTGAAGGGAAAACAGTCAGACAGTGTAACTCTCCGTAAACAGCAAAATGCAGAGAGGACTCATCTTTGCTATTTAGCACCAGAAGTTTGATATAAACAAAAACAAACTTCAGTGACGGGTGAACACACATGCCAACAAGCACCAAGGCTACTTCACTGCCCCACTTTTGATAAGTCTGTGAGTCAGAATTTGCCAGCTGAGCTGAAACTTATTGAAACACTGAAATTTGACAGCTGTCCGTAGAGAACGCATCACATTTCACTTCAGCCAAAGTGATAGGGAGAATGATACTTGGTATTTTAACGTTTGTAGAATCGTAGCAATGCAGGGCTGGGAAGGACCTCAAGAGGTCATCAAGTCCAGCCCCCTTTGCTGAGGCAGAACCAAGTATGCCTAGACCATCCCTGAGAGGTGTTTCTCCAACTTGTTCTCAAAAAACTCCAGTGATGGGGATTCCACAACCTTCCATAGAAGCTTATTAGTTCCGAGCATAAGCAAAACATTGGCAGGTGTAGGGTTAAGGTTCCCTTAAGGAAAAGGTTACAATTTTTAATGATCCATTATGGGGTTTCTAAAACATCTGGTGGAGACAGGATACTGGATTGGATGGACTAGTGAGCTGATCTGGTATAGCAAGTCCTACATTCCTATCACGCTTATAGGATGGCAGCCTTAACATTATAAATGTATTTGTATCTCTTCCTACTGCAGTGTTTGGAAGTGCCCTTGATTTAACACAATCAAATGGAAAAGGGATAACATGCTTACATGAATAACACTAGACTACACAATTACATTAGCTAGTCCAAGTACAAAGGTTATTGAACCGCATGCTTCGGGGTGGTTTATTGGTGAAGACAGGAAGGCATTTCCCTCTCACTCCCGTCCCCATCATATAGCTGTCCAGATGCACTATTCAGCAGGAGTATTCCTTTTCCGCCTCAACATCTTTTCTAAGCTACTATCAGAGACAGGAAACCAGGTTAGATGGACAATTGGCCTGATCTGAAATGACTATTTATTGCTACTTCTAAAACTGAGAAATTGGGAGTCTGAATCCTTCACTTTTCAAGTTTTATTACTTATCCATAAATATTTGTCTGGAGCAGAAAAGCGTAAGAGGCCCAACATTTAAAAAAATATTTTTTCCTTGAGTGAAAATGCGGACATTCAGATGTCTAGCTAAATAACTGTGCCCACATATCTGCTGATTAGACAAATAAATGCTAGCATTTGTGCTACAGTAAACGGAGGGAGTAAAATTGCACCCACAAAAACAGAAGGTTGGAGGAGTCCTTTTAAAAACAAAAAAAAGTCATGCTCGGAATGTCCCAACGAGAGAATGCATTGCTGTAAAACATTTTTCTTTTTTGGTTGTTAGTACTCAAAAAATAAAATAAAATAAACCAGCTGTTTTGGAGTAATTCTGTTGCGATTTCTCTCACATGCCTGCCACCTACCACTGGATTCAATCAGAAAGGTGTCCAACTTCTACATCAAGAAATCTATGTCAAATCAATTGGTGGAAGGAGGTACGTGGCGGTTGCTCCGTGCAAGAGGCAGATGGAGATTATATTGAATGTGGCCTTATTTTATAAATGAGTCAGTTATGGATAGAGTATCATCCTATGGTTGGTTGTTTTTTAGCCTTTCCTCTGCAGTTCATTGCTTTTGAGGGTTTAATTCAAATACTTGGTCGTGGTTTTAATTCCCCTTTAAGCTGTATTTCTATCTAGCACGGTTTGAGGCTATGTACACACTTACAAGAATCCTGAAACATGATCTTTTAGGGTCAAAACAGTGTGTTAAATCCTCCTAATGCTTGAACTGTTTAACACTAAAAAAAGCTAATAAATGTGCAAAGTTTTTACTTGGATTTATTCCACTTCCTGTAGAAGGTGCTCTCCACCCATAAAGAAAATTTGACAGCAGAGAACTGGGATTGTACTATACAAACTAAGTCAGTCGTTTATATTTCCATTTAATAATCCCATTTCTTTTCATCATATTAAAGAAATCCATTCTCATATACACAATAGTAAAACAAACTAATATGATTTTAAGAGTTGAAACCAAAAGGTATCTTGTCTCTTTAAATGTTTCCACTCATGTAAACTATGTGATATGTATTAGTCTGCTTATACTTCTATTTTGATTTTCGGAAATTCTCATCCTATTTCACTTTGGAACCAAGTAAAAATGTTTCAGCAGCTGGAAGTGCTTGACACAAATGTCTTGCGTTTGTTATTTCAGGCCGGGAAGGACAAATGCGTCTGCTACAACTTTTAGCTTTGGTCACTCTTGGAGATGAAACACACAACTGGCTTCCACGGAGAATTACAGCATGATTACTACTGCACTTAACGGCCTTTTAGTATCAACAGCCTGGGACTCAGTTCTTGAGTCACAGCGGAAGGCTGTTCTTCAGAATGATTTTGAGTCACCCCTCTCTGACACAATGTAGTAGGGATGGGAGTGAAAAAACTGTGGCTAAGCACGGAGGCCTTGAATGCCCCGTGAATCAAAGGTCAAGCCTGGCTTTATCATCTTCACCAGTTAGTAATGTAACAGAGAGAGAGCCCTAGCCAAGTGAAGGAGAAATTACTCAGTGTGCGTCTCCAGAAAGGTTTCCCTGACAAGCAGGAGTTTATTGTTCTATGAGAAGAGCTGATTAGCTCAACAGGAAAGGGCAAGCCAAAGAACTACATAACTTGTAATGGTTGATATTAACTAGCAATTCATTTCAAGGAAAATCTTTCCCCTGCCTCACTGGTTCCAGTGAGTTTCCAGCTTTCAGAACTGGTCTGAAATCTGTTTTGCAAAGGTGTAGCAGAATCCTGGGGGGAGGGGTCATTAGGTTGATGTGGAAGTGAGAGTGGGGCTAGGATCTGGTGGGGAGCATAAGGAAATGAGTTGGGAGCTCCCAGGTAGGGTGACCAGACAGCAAGTGGGAAAAATCGGGGGGGGGGGGGGGAGTAATAGGCGCCTATATAAGACAAAGCCCCAAATATCAGGACTGTCCCTATAAAATCCGGACATCTGGACATCCTACTCCCAGGCCTAACTCCTCTTCATAGGAGGGGATGCGATGCGATGCATTAGGACTGTGGACACTGCAGCAACCTCAAGGTTTCAGCTGTGGCTACGGAATGGCTCTGCAGCTGTGCTGTGGCTTATGAAGGAGTCCACAGCATCCAGCCCAGACAGTGAACCTAACAAACAACAAATTCTACACTTGATGCAATGATCGGGGCTTTTCTTGTCCCATCTTAGCATAGACAAGGGGCGGGGGGAGGGCAGCCAGCCAGCCTTTGAAGACTGCTAGTCTACAAGCAGTTAGCAGTTGGGCAAGAGAGGGAGGAAGAGAAAGTGAAGAGCTGGGCGTGGGAGTGCAGGGAAATCGTGCAGCCAGCCAATGAGAGCTGACTGTGAAGTTGCAGGGTGGTGGGAGGGATGCAACCCTGTGATCTCTGAGCTGTTCTGGGACATAGTGGTAGATGGGGCCTGCAAATTGCTAGGATCTAGGGCTATCAATTGGGGTGCGTCTGACCTAGGCATAGGATGGAATGGGAAAACAAAAGCCTACTGCTTACAAGAGAAGGTCTAAGGTAGGACTTAAAGAAAGCCTGATCCTTGATCCTTTACTCATGCGAGCCGTTCCTCTGACATGCTGACAATTTAATTTGGCAGGAGGTGAGAAGGTTGCTCATTCCTACACCACTGCCCTGATTCCAGCTGCAGGGAACCCTGGAGTGGCTTCACAGTGGCAGCAGCCTAGCAGCTTTTTAGAGCCCGTGGCCCTTACTGTTAAGGGAGCCTCCAACCATCTCCCCAAAAAGAAGAAAAGAAATGTAGGCCCATAGTGGGCAAATACTAACCCTGGTCCTCATTTTTTAAACAAGTGAGTTCAGGAATCCAAGAACATTTTAGCTGTTGTTTGCACCTGGACAAATACGCGACAGGGGTTTGGGTCTGAATCCCATTGGAAACCCTTTGTATCTTTTCCAGGCAGTAGGAACAGGGCAATGAATGACCAGTGCCCTCTCCACATCCGGGCTAAGAATGGAGGCATACAAAAGAGCAGTGAGTAGAGTGGGTGTGCCCTGAGCTAGAAGGGAAAGACCAGGCCTGTTTGTGAAATAACCAGGCAGCTGCTTCCTATGTTGATTTATTTCGTCACAGGAAAGTCAGCCTATGGGAGCAACATTCTCACCCTCCTCCTGGCCCACTACAATTTGCCATCTGTTAAAGGGTCAGGGAGGAGACCACCAGATTTGCAACTTGTCACTAGACAGGAAATGTACGAATGTCTGTCCCTAGCATCTGGACCCTTATTGTCTTTCAGAAGCCACTACTTAGCTCAGTCTCATGTTTCATCCTTTTATCATGTTGTTGTGCATATTCTTTCCCGCCCCCCTACCTGTGACAAAGCTTTAAAAAAGTGACAAAAAGGTTATGTGGATTAGGAAATGCACACACAAAAAAACAGTCTGACTACATACACAGTTAATGCCTAGACCAGTGTTTCCCAAACTTGGGATGCCGCTTGTGTAGGGAAAGACCCTGGCAGGCCGGGCCGGTTTGTTCACCTGCCCCGTCCACAGGTCCAGCCGAACGCAGCTCCCACTGGCCGCGGTTCGCTGCTCCAGGCCAATGGGGACTGCTGGAAGCGGTGCGCGCCGAGGGACGTACTGGCCGCTGCTTCCCACAGCCCCCATTAGCCTGCAGCAGTGAACCGCAGCCAGTGGGAGCCGCGATCGGCTGGACCTGTGGACGGGGCAGGTAAACAAACCGGCCCGGGCCCGCCAGGGGCTTTCCCTACACAAGCGGCGTCCCAAGTTTGGGAAACACTGGCCTAGACAAAGCCACATGACGTGAAATGAAGCACCTGAACTGAGAAAAACTGCTTCACTGTTCCAAAGGTTGCCCAAGAGCTTTCAATAGTGGTGTGTTGTTTCTTTACTTGGCTGCTAAGGATATGAAAAGGTTTCCAAGGCTTTGAGGAAAACTGTGACATTTGAACAAAAGATATATATGAACCATAATGATTTTGCTCCTGCTATGCATAAAAGAGGCACATTTAAAAAGGAAAGTCACACATAGTAGTGGTCTATGTGGAAGACTTCCACCAATTAACCCTTTGGCACTGGTATTTAGGATTTACTGACACTAACCCATAATGGTGCATGGGCACTTGGCAATGGCAAAACCCAACTCCCATACCCAAAGGGGTTAATCATTTTTTAAACAACTAGATTGCAGCTTTTTGTTGTTGTTGTTGCTCAGGTTTAGCATTTTATCAATAAGTGGAAAATGCACAAACAACCTATTTTCCACTCCTGCAAATAAACCTCTAGGGAACTTTATTCCTTGCCTCGAGGTTTACTTTACTTTCAGATCAAGCAAAATAAAAAGTGTGTAACCTTTTGAAAACTTGGTTTTAAGAGTTTCTAAAGCCACATAATTACTTTAGTCCCCAGTCCCTTTGTTTCTAAACAAGATAACTACACTGAAAACAATCACGTCATTACACGGAGCCGGCGCCTCCCATTCTGCCTACATTAAACGTTTACATGTGTCACTTTGAGTTAAAGGACTGTGCAATCAGGTCACTCTTTGGAAAGTAAATTGCATGAGAACAAGCCAGGCAGTGACAGACAAGCAATCATGGCTTTTGTAAACCATTTTCTCATAAACCTTTTTGCCACATAAAAAACAAAACAAAAAACCTGCAATCAAAAGAACAAACCCAAGATCCACATTCCCAGGCAGGGAATTGTTTTGGTTTAACTCTGAAGGGAACATATATGTTCCCCACCTCCAAGACAGTCTTCTGGGATCTTTGATTCTGTATAGATCCTCTGCAGAGCCTCGAAAAGCAACACAGCTTTCATCAACAAAGGAGTGTTTAGCCTTTGAGGAAAAACTGCCACCACTGTTTGCATGTTAGCCTCCCTGAGCTGCACTGGTAATTTGCTTGGATTGGAGAGGGCCACTAATAATTGAATCCTTGCTAATCAGCGAACATACTGACCCTAATGCTGATAGGGCAGAGCACAACTCAACTGCTTCACTTAAGATGCGGTGTGGGTTTTACATAACATCAGATGAGACTCTCTACATTTTACATATGGACTTTGATCCTGCAAATCCTTGGCCGGTGCATTGTTGGTGTCATTACTCATTAGCGCGAAGTAGGGGGAAACACTACGTGTAGTTGTCCTCATTGCAAAGCATTGTCAAGTGCCCCACGCGCCCGTTCCCTTATTTGCAAGGGCTCAGGGGTGGAGAACGTGCACAGCTGAGGACACAGGGGCTTAACAGCCATCCTCCTGCTAAAGAGGCTCTCTGCTCTTAAGCCTCAGAGCAGTTGCTGCACAGGAGTAACTAGGTGGCATTGCAGCCGTTCTCTGAGGCAGGATTGAGTCCCGTCTCACAGCACTCCCTACCTGCTCTGTGCAACAGCCATGCCCCCAGCGAAGACAGATTTTTAGAGAGGCTTTTGATTTACACGGCATCTTCCACACTGCAGTCCACCATGTAAATGTTAACTCTCAACAGCCCCACCTGCCCTGAAGTAGCTGGATTTCCTAACATGGTAAATAGCCTCCGTCACAGGTTATGCCCATCAGCATCTCCAGTGTTACCAGGATTGCCCTGTCATTAGTGCAACAGTAAGAGATGCCACTCACTATGCAGTAAGCCACCAGGGCTCCTTGTGCAAATCCCGCCAGCACATCTGTAGGGTGATGCTTGTGGTCAGACACACGGGACAATCCTGTGTAAAATGCCATCATGATCAGGGTAAACTGCAGAAGGGGACGTAGCAGACGGGCTCCTCTCCATGTGAATCTGGCCTGCAGATATAACTAAGGAGAGAAAAGAAAAACAAAGGGGAGCATTAATTTTACACCCTGGTCACAGTGTGCACAGCAACGTAGAACAAATGCTCTGGCTAGCTGTAGAAATGGAGCGGAGGAACGTCATTCTGCCCTCCGATGCACGCATCTGGCTGCCACTGGATACAGCAGGAATTTCATGCATGTATCAAAGGGCAGAACTTGGTCCTTCATATGTTATGGTGGAAGGGAAGGGGGTTCTTTAAAGGAGATGAATTACTTCAGATAACAAAAGCTGCCCTGAGACGGGTGCCTGAGATGGTCGTCATGGCAGCAGAACTGGTGGGATTCTAATCCAGTGGTGAGAGGCAGGGGGAGCTGGATTTCTGGGGGCTCCGGCTGGACCTTGGACTGTGAGCCAGCCCCAACCCCTAGGCTTTAGACCCCGAGCTCCAGCCCAAGCTGCAATATCTACCTAGCTATTTTTAGCACCGTAGCACGAGCCTGAGTCTGTGGAGCCGGGCACGGAGACTGGCTGCTGCGGGCTGCCACTCATTGTGTAGACCAGTGATTCTCAAACTTTTGTACTGGTGACCCCTTTCACACAGCACGCCTATGAGTGCGACCCCCTTATGAATTCAAAACACTATTTTATATATTTAACACCATTATAAATGCTGGAGGCAAAGTGGGGTCTGGGTTGGAGGCTGACAGCTCATGCTGAGGGGTCCCAACCCCCAGTTTGAGAACCCCTGGTGTAGACGGACCCTACGAGAAAGCAGTCCACACCACTGAGCGTTTTCAATTCCAGTTCATTCTGCATTAACAAGCCTGCTGAAGGTAAAGGATAAACACAACAATTCTCTAACATTTGCCAAGCAGAGCAATGAGAGTTCGTATTAACACTATTTAGCCAGACCCAGAATTAGGCTTGGCAGAATTCAATTTTTATTTTATTTTTATAATTTCAGCAGATCACATCGATGTTTATTTTAAAGCATTTTTTCCAATTGTATCTATTTAAATATTCAGTCATGCAGAATTATGGGATTTAATCGTCTTTTTCTATGATCCATTTATATTTTCACAACTGTGGGAAATTGGGCGTGGGGGTGTCAGACAATAATTACTTAAGGGCAGTGCAGAACACAAAGTGCCAACAGCACGTGTCAAACTATGCAAAGCAAATATCCTTATAGCAAACGCTGATAAGTTCTCACTTTCTTTCTTTGCCTGTCAATTTCTATGATCATCAATGGAAATATTTTTTGTCAGTTTGTGTGGATACCGTGAACTTGACATTTACCAATAAAAAGCTAATCTGAGAGGGAGGCAAGCTGCTTATCTAACGGCAGGAACTCTTCACCAAGAAAAAGCTGGTGGTAACAATGCACATATCCACCTCCTTCAGTCTGTGCAAACAGGATCATTATTAATGGACCTACAAAGAGCCAGCCCTGCTCCAGAATAACTGACGTGTTACAGTGGGGTTCACTCACTACTCACACAAGCAGACCTTATGTTGGGGCTACTCACATCAGGAAAGACTCTCTACCAGCTTAAGCTCTGATCCTTCAGCATACAGAATTCTGCAGTGCCTTTGTGTTACTCAAAATATAGAGAGGGGTGTGTGTGGGGGGGGAAGGTGGTAATGTTACTTTTACTTACAAGGGGAAACAAAAGGACTTGACCTTAGGTGAAGAAGTTGAAGTGACGTCAAATGGGTATTGTCCCCCCTACAGTTATCTTGAGCTTTTTTCCGTTGCAAACGGTGGGCACAACCTACTTCCCAGGTTCCTGTGGGAACTGGGGAAACCAAACGGGAAGAGAGGACAGGAAAACTGGAACCTTCTGTCCACAAATCAAAGTTGCCTGAGGCCGATCACCCCCCAAGGCAGAGCCAAGAGGAGCAGAGCCCTCCCAGAAAGTGCTCCCTTCCTGTGCATGAGGGAGGAAGTGGAGACGGCGGTGGGGAGGGCTGGATGGGGGAGATGTGGAACGGATGTGGGTCAGGAAGTCATAGCACTGTCTGGGGTGTGTGGGTGGCTAGGGAGGAGACAGGAGCAGCAGCTTCTTCATTAACACTTGCAAGACAGAATACATCCCCTCCCCCAATGTCTAGAATTGTAGCCCAGCTAAACACCCTGCACAGCTCTGCCGTCCTTACCAATGAAATAGAAAATATAGCCAGTAGCCACGTGGAAAAAAATGGTGATTGAGTCAGGTTTCTAGGCCAGCCGCTCTGCTGGCAGAATGGTGTAACGTGGCCTTTGTGTAAATGAGAATCAAGCCCAGGGATATTTCCATAGCAGCCCCCAAAACACAGAAACGCTGTGCAAAGGCAAACCTGGAAAGCCGTAGTAAATGGTTTAATAGGTTGGGTCTGTTTCACAAACCTTTTATTTGCCCCTTTTGGAAAAAGTACGCGGAATAACGTTAAAATGATCTGAAGAAACATTTGCACCAATCTAGCAGATGCTTCAAATTATCCAAATTGACAGCCAATTCGGATTGACTAGAGCAGTACCAAAGCACCTCAGTGTTGGCCAAAGCACATTACAGAGTCTGTGGAAGACAGCAACATCTATACTGATAAATTCACTCCCACACATTTGTACTTGCATTTTTAATAATAATTTACATGCTAGGGAAAGAATTAGTTAATCAGAAAAATGCTTTATAAACACACTGCATCTTTCATCCAGAAGGATTTAAAAGCGCTGCTCAAAGTATAGGCACTTCAGATACTGCTAAAATGCAGTCATCTCTGAAGTGGAAGACAGAAGCTGTTTAATAGCACAGTGCAACACTACATAGCCATTTAAAACGATTTAACAGTGGGCACTTCTTTATTCACAGAACCAGCACGTTCCATGTGTTTCATTAATGAACTGGCTTCTGAATGGTTTTCAAATATCTATGTGCTCATTCTGGGCCAAATTCTGATACCCTTGGTCATATTGAGTAGTCCTTTACTCCTTAAGAAATCAATCAGTGGGAACTAATTGTGGAGATAAGATACTGTGGAACAGGATTTAAGGGGCTCACAATCTGCGCCGTTATCATTCAAATGCACTTTCTTGATGTTGTTATACAGAGACAGTGCTGTCCCTTTAAAAGTCTACATTTTGGGAGCAAGGGTGGTGGTTTTTAAAGCAGCTGAGGGTTGTCAGCTAAATTTGCATTGCCACTGATGTTCAGATGCAAGTTTGCAGCCTCTGCCTCATTCAGATACAAGCATGGACCCTGTATACAGCATTACACTTTACACACAGTGCCCCTCAGCTTTGCTAGAAGAACTCAAGAGCTAATGTCATGCATAAAGCTTCATGCTGAGTTCATTCCAATTCCTTAAGAAAGAGGTTTCAAATGTTTGATATTATGCAACAGTAATGCATCTATCCCCTTCTGTACACTGATTTGAATTACTTCCCTGTCCTCTCCTCAATGCAGCCCAAAGGCTTTGACTCAAGAGTTCAATCAGAGTAGAGAAAGCAAGAATTTAATTTAAAAAATGACCAATTAAAAATGAGCATTGAATTTAAATAGAACATAAGCTCAACAGTGACAGACTCAAGACATTTGGGGGTAAAATGAGAAAAAATGGCTTCAAAATGTGCCCGTCCAGCTGTTTGTGTGCCCACCTTTTCAAAAACGAATGTCTTAATTGTGCCACACATCAGGCATTGTATGCACACAGTTCAGACTGGCACATGTCCTTCTGTAAATATGGGACAAAAGCAATGCATGCCTGGTATTAGGAAATTAAAGACCTCTAGCTGCCCAAATTGCATGCACGTCAACACACAACACACAGTCAATCTGTGGAACTCGTTCCTGGGTGATGTTGTGAAGGCCAAAAATATAACAGGGTTCAAAAAAGAACTAGATAGGTTCATAGACAATAGGCCCATCAATGGCTATTAGCCAGGATGATCAATGATGCAACCCCATGCTCTGAATGTCCCTAGACTCTGTTTGCCAAAAACTGGGAGTAGAGGACAGGTGATGGATCACTTGATGATTGCCTGTTCTGTTCATTCCCTGTGAGGCACCTGGCATTGGCCACTATCAGAAGACAGGATATTGGGCTAGATTGGACCAGTATGGCCAGTCTTATGTTCTGATTTTGGAAATTCAAAAATCATGCACGTACAATAGGGAGGACAGTCCAAAAATCAGAGCACTAGCCTGGGACTTGGGGGACCCTGATTTAATTATTTGCTCTGCCACAGACATCCTGTGTGACCATGGGCAAGTCACTTAGCCTCTCCGTGCCTCAGTTCTGCCTATGTGAAATGGGGATAATTGCACTTCCCTACCTCACAGGTGGTAGTGAGGATAAATACATAGAAGATTGTACCTAAAACATAACATTTCCAGGCATGAATTTAGGAGGCTGAACTGAGGCTATATTGAAACTGTAGCCCTTGGTGTGGGTGTGTGTGAAATACATATCATAGGGGAAGAAAAGAAAAGCAAATCAGAAAGCTAAGGGAAAAACAGAAAGCATCAGAATGTCCTGGCACAGAAAAATCAGTAGTATAATGTAAGGCAGGAAACCCCCAGCAGCTTCTTTGCTAATCTTTTTCAGAGCACACTGTAAAGAATTTGCAAGTGGCTTCTGCTAAATGTGTAAATGCTGCCATGTAGGAGAAGTTTATGGGTGAGCCTGGATGGGGGTAAGATAATAATGTAAAATATGTTACTCCCACTGCAGCCCACTGTGTAGCATTACAAGAAAGTAACATATAATGATTAAAAGGAGCAGGCCTGTCAAAACGCAAGAGGGAAGGAAGGATGAAGTGACCTGCAATAATATGTAGTCACGGCCGGCTCCAGGCACCAGCTTGGCAAGCAGGTGCTTGGGGCGGCCGCTCCAGAGAGGGGCGGCACGTCCAGGTATTCGGCGGCAATTCGGCGGACGGTACCTGACTCCCGCTCAGAGCGAAGGACCTCCCGCCGAATTGCCGCCGCAGATCGCAATCGCGGCTTTTTTTTTTGGCTGCTTGGGGCAGCAAAAATCCTGG